GGGTAACTTGTTAAACTAAAGTTGCTAGGTAGCAATGCAATTTTCTAAGAAGAGTTAGCAGTGCACCAAACTATCATTTAACAGAGGGGTAGCAGTCTTAAGCTATGACTGACATTTGATGCAGTTCAGGGTTTTCTCTAATCATCCTCAGTGCAAATACAGTGCAAATACAGATGCAAGGAAAGACGCACCCCTTAAATCCAGTTATTTTGGAGACAGATCTCTTCATTTGCCTTTTTAAGATCAACATTTAGGTGATCAGTAACAGGTGAAGACTCCGGGCTACCCTCTCCCCCTGCACAGTAAGGAATTCCGGGAGGCACAGGGAAACACTAAGGGGCCACAGCAGCATCTAGCGAGTATGCTTTTTCTTACTGTTTCTTTTTCACAATCTGAAGTGCAAGGTGAAATGTAGACCATCATCTTCTGATGATGTTCCTTCAACAGCGGAGGCTTTTAGCGCAGGAGGAGACAAACATTTACCAACTTAGAATTCAACTGTAATACGCGCTGAATAGAGAGACATTCAAGCTGTTTAAAAATACATCCGCAGCATACTCCACAACACTTAGTGGTAAGAGATTATCCTCTTAAATCTACAGACAGGAAGATAAGCATTCCCATTTTGATGAGGTGCAAGAGCTCAAGGAATCTTACTCACAGCCTCAGACTGTGGGGCTGATAGCGGGCCCTGGGAGCCCAGCCATCCCGTTACCGCTCCGCTGGCTCCTCTGCCCGTCCTGCTCCCAGGCAAACCACAGGGCCAACCTCCAGCTCCGTACCCTGCTTCCAGGCTAGGCTGTGGCTCACTCCTTCACCCTTTACTGGCACAAGCCTTACCTGTTCAGAGGCCTTTCCCTCTGGGAACCGTCTTGAATTACGTCCTTGTTTCTACCTGTCCTTTTCTCTCTCTCTCTCCAGTTCCACCCTATATATAATTCCTTTATCTAAGTCTACTGATTTAATCCACTAATCCAGAGAAGGAAAAAACCTAACTAAAATTGGTAGTCTTCTTCCCAGGTTAGCAACTTTAAGTGTTTGATGAGAGGATGCTTTGAGCACTCCAGTAAATACAAGGGAGGCAACAAAACCAAGCTGGGAGCAGGCGAGCTGGCTGTGGCTCGCCCTTCTGGTAGCGGCGAGCCAGCCAACCAGTTCAACTGTCTGTGAAACCACAGGCTACTTTGGGACAGAGCACATAGAACACTAAAAATAAGCTGGACACTTTATATCCGTCTTGAATGTAAAGAATCTTTCCAAAACTCTTAAGGAGTTTTACCCTTGCTAGCATCAGACTCAAGCATGTTTCCAAACTGAAGCACGTTTCCACACTATGCCCTCCTCCCTCCAATTTCAGTTACCACCAACACATTAGCCAAGTACCAAGCCAACAGTAAGCACCTTAAATTACCAAGTTATTCTGCAGGCTGCTGTAATGACATTGGCCATATTTATTTGTTTGTTGTTGTTACAACAACAAACTGCCCCCGCCCTGTTCAGTGGCCTGCTACAATACCAAGACACCTTTGGTCCACTCAAAGATGAATCATTTTTCACATTACCAAATGAGACAACACCATAGAATGCACATTTAAAAATACCATTTAGAAAACCAGAAATTTATTGTGATTTTTTAAAAAAAAACAAACTGAGATTAAGTTTCGTGATAAAAATTATTCAGACAGCATTCATGTTGTGATTTTTTATTTTATTTTTGAAATGAAACCATTGTACATTGTACAAACCATAACTACCGATGGAATAAATAAGTGAAAAATTATACTGCTGTACAACACACACACACACAAATCATAAGATGGAAAACGATTAGGTATTGAAGAAAACAAAATTCTTTACACCTTCTAACAGGCCCTTAGATATAAAGAACATTCCAAAACATGACAATGTTTATGTATGAAGATAGCCACCCAAAACCAATATTTTATACTGCCTTGTTGATTATTTTTTGTTGTTTTGTAAGTGCCAGCACTTTTTGGAATGTTTAACAACTACTTTCCCAAGCATAAAAATTCCAAGGAATAGTTCTGCTATAAAATGTTTGGCTGAGTAAATCGCTTATTCGGAAGGCCTTCCCACATGTTCCACAAACTCAGCTAATTTACTTGCTTGCTTCTAGTTTCTTTTTTTTTTTTCTTTTTTTTTTCTTTCTTTTTTTTGTATTTATTTGTAACTGAAGCTCCAACATTCAGCATTGTAGCAAGGAAGCACTTCTTGATATTTGCACTATTTCTAAAACATTAGCTGTATGAGAACTTTCAGTCATCGAAGAAAATCACATCCCTCCTTCTGCTCCACGTCTCAATGCTTTCAATAAACCCTTTTACAGTGAGTTCATAAAACAAGTTTCTGGTAGAGATAGGTCCAAGCCAAAAAAAGCTGGATTTAGATGTGGTTTCAAACCTCGGGTTGATTTGAATTCGATGTTCTGGTTTGGTCCCATCTGTACTTTCTGGCATTAAAATGTGTTTAATCACATCCGTTGGCCCATAAATGTTATCAGGCACTTCAAAAAAAGACTAATAACAGTCTTATACGCTATTTTGGATTTCTTCATACCAGATAATGTCAAAGTCTCTTCCCTTAGAGACTGACAATAACAGGTCTAAGGAACCCAAATCTATCTGCTTGTTCAGTTGTCTGTTGTCACTAGAATCTCTGGTTAAAAAAAAAGTTCTGAATGTATTCTGTATAAGCTGTAAATAAAGCATTACTACTTTAGAAATAAAGCCTCTAGGAATATGGTTATGATGCCTTGTCTTGTAAGCCACAGAACAATGAACAGTTCTGAGCAGAAGCCACAGAAGAGAAAAGGAAGTTTATAATTAAACCTGTTGATGTCAATAATGCCAATAAATGCTTCTATCTAATGAAAAATTTGAGGTATTTTTAGTGCTATTTATATATTTTATTTCTTCCTAAAGTACAGGAATTAATTTCTAAACGAAAAGTCTATTTAGTCCCTTGGAAACGTCTACAAAATTAAAATTAAAAACTTGCTGCGATGCACCTGAAGATAGGGATTAGTAAACACGACTACTTGTCCAAGGTGGCATCAGGTTTGTTTTGTTTTAGCATTAAAAACAACGAAAAGTTAGTAAATCAAAAATATTTTTAAGTTTGAATCTTTCTAGATTTGCCCATTTAATATATCAATAGAACTTCTCACAAAATATCACTTAAATCTGAATGTAATATACATACAAATCAATCGTCATTGACCAGTTATCCACATTTTAGGCATACACACAATTCAAGAGAGAATTCTACCGTTTCATTGCATATATTGTGCAAATACAGTTTTTGGCTCCTCATTTCCTTATTTTCAGAATGTTAATGGACTTCATGATCAGACCAGAAATCCCAAAAACTTATTAGGGAGCACGCTGTTTTCATGAATGATTTGCAATCAAATTTTATTCAGTTAAAATCCAAAAAGTTTTATTTCAACATAAAGGAAAAGTTCCGAAACTGAGTGTCATACGTTATCTGGAGTTCAATCCTACAAACATCTTATGGAAGGTCAGTATTGGCTCCCCGCTCCTCCCTCCCTCTATTCCCTCCCCCCACATCCCCATTGTTTTTCATAATAAAGTGGTAATCGCAAACGCAATGCAGTAGTCTAAGTGCAAGCCATTTTCACTATTGGAGAATTCAGAAATAAATAAGCTTAATGAAGAGCTAATTATGAAAATGTATCAACTGGAAGCAATTTTTTTCATTTAAAAAAGTATTTACAGTTCTTAGCTTACAAACTATATGCAACCATTTTCATAGCTGTGAGATCATGTTTTAAATTACAAGTTCCATCTTCCACACAAAGTGAAGACAGACTAAGGGCCCGATCCAGCAATACCTACGCACGTACATATGTGCGTACGTGCGTGTATGTGTACTGAAGTGAGAAATAAGCGGTTCCCACGGACGCCAGGTATTTCTAACTGGGAGCTCACCCCGGCATTACAAAGCCCACTCTAAGATCAGGCCCTTGTGACCTGATGCAGACGGTTCTGCACATCCACCTGCCACGCATTTGAAGGGAGCTGCACACACTTAGTGCCTTTCAATCAAGTTTAGCATAAGCGCGCTTCAACATAATTGAGAAAGAAGGAACATTTCTAACAATGATGTAGGGACTACGGAAACAAGGCTTATTTACAAGACTTGCTGAAAGAAAAATAGAAATCCCAAATACAGTATTAACGTGGAACATAGAAGTAAACATCTTATAAAGAAACAGTACAATGAAATCCAGTTCAGTGAAAACATGATATCAAAAAAGACCAATTGAAAATAAATTCACTGTGCATCAATCCCTTTGATCCTATTTATGTACATAGTGGAACTTTTCTGTAAAGCAAGTTGTACCCAGTACAGAGATCTGGACCTAATACGTAAGTATTTTAACTGCTGTGTTATAGTATATATTCAGATCTGGACTATAAATGGTAAACAGATCATGTTAACTTCTGATGAAGTTAAGTATTTAGAAGACCAAATTTACAGTTGCGAATGCCATGCATTCAATAAGAGATCTCCACTATAGCTGCTAAAATAAAATATCAAGCTCCTTTTTCTCCTTGGACTCCAAGAGTGAAAATGGCTTCCTGATCTGTATTTGTTACAAAGTTAAGCACCAGGGATTTAAAAATTAAAAACAAAACAAAAACCCCAAACAAAAAAAGAAAAAAAAGGAAAAAAAAAAAAAAGAAAAAGCCTTACTACATGGCATTATACAAACATAGGCCACTTTACAAAGGAGACAGCTGCAAACCAACTTTTAAAAGTTAGCACTGTTTTCAGAACACAAGGCACAAAACAAAAGCAGACATCACGCCAGAACAATGAACTTCACATGAAAGCTAATACCTGACCTGTACCATCCTTAAATATCTTACAATGTTAAATAGAGAAATGAAAAAAAAAAAAATACAGCAGCAACATAATTGTAATTTTGACTTTAGAAACAGTGCGTAGACCCCTCCTGAGTTGTTTACTCCAACCATTTCAGAGACAGTAACTTAAAAGTTCTCAATGTTTGTTTCACAGGAAAAAGTTTTCAGTGTCTGAGAAGTTAAACCTTTGTTAGGCTTTCTTGGATTTTTGCTTGGTAACTTGAAAAGTTAGGAGTTCTGTCCTCATCCAAGAGAAGATGCTTAAGTAAGGTTGTTCTATAATTAAGCCCACTGATGTACCTTACATAAAAACTGACCAGAAAAATCTATAGTCTAAATCTCTTCAACATTTTGTTGGGAAGCCTCTACTTTCATCTTTTTAGAAGGTGGCACTCCTTCAGAGTCCTTAATGAAGGGGAAAAGAAAAACAACCACGTTATCATTGCACTGAATTTCAGGCGCCATAAACATCAAACAAAAAGCACGAACAAATTCCCTGGTGTGTCATTTGTAAAATAAAAAGCATCCCTGGATATGAGAATGACGTGACCAAGTGCATTTGCTTCCTGAAATCACTCCTCTACTTACATCTTACCTCAACATCTTTACACTTGTTGTCGTCTACTGACAAAGGGCAAAATGCTAGTTGCAGGCTAAAAACCACAGTGAATATTCCAAGCAACAGCCTTGATGCATGGTTATACCCGGACTTCCCTCAGCTCCACACTCGAGCACAACCCACACCAAGTGCACACGAATTTTCTCCTGCTGTAGCCAAAGCAATCTCTACGGGACAGAACACGCAAGGTTTGGAAAGCGCAAGGTGTGCACTGAAACAAGCCAACCACCCACAAGGAACACCCATGGATTGAGCAGTGCTCTGCCTGAGGATCTCGGTGTGAGGGGGACAACTGCAAGGATAATTTCTTTCTTCCACCCACCTGGAATTTTTCAGTATACCAGTGAGTAAACATCCAAACATCTTGTCCACTGAATCTACAAAAATTAACTTTCCTAACTGCAATAAGCATTTACTTTTATAGAAGGTCTTTTACTTCTGAATGGTCCTCAAAGGGGCCTGTCCAGTAGGTTAGGTCCAAGCAATTTATTAACATGAAATTTTAATATTCCCTTACAAAACTAACACAGACTGGTTTAGGAAACTGAAAAGTAAATCAGATCAATCTAGTCTTACTGTTCAAATTATGTGAAATGCAAGAAAGTTAATCAAGTTAACCACAAAACCAGACTCATTCACATGTAAAACTCTACAGCTGCTTCACTGTCCTCACCTTTGGAAATGAGTCTAAATACATAATTAGCCTCCTTACATTTGCTTTTTGGTAAAAATACTCTTTACCAAATTCCAAGTAATTGGGCTTTTGTGCTTAAAGTTACCTGAGAGTTTTTAGATGCCTCCGTAATTATATCATTTTCTCCAGAAGACTGAATTTCTGCTTTCTCTGAACTATTCATGGAATTTTCCATTGAAGACTGTGAATTCTGTTCATCAGAGGTATCTGAAATTTCAAGAAATAATTTTAAACAAACAAATCAGGAGCTTTTAGGATGTCTTCTCATTAGCAACATCCCAAACACATAAATTTCACCCCCGTGTAACCATCCATGATAACATACATAACGACTGTATGAATATAATGAATTAAGCTCAAACTCCAGGACCACAACCACTGGCTGCTGCCAGAAGACCTTCGCCTTCACGCTGCCCACAGTATACAATTGCTGAAATCAGTCCCTAGAGGGAGCTAAGCTCCTGCACACCCTGTAACACAGGACGATGTCAACGCTATTAGGGAACAAGCTTCAACATAAACTTTGCAAAGGGACTGCCCGCAAGAAAACTTGCTTCAAACCCGAAGTAAAAGGCAGCTTCAAAAAGGGCTGAATTGTGATAACTAATGGATCTAAAACTGTGTAGCTAAGGAGAGAGAACAAAGTTACCTGAATCAAAATTCAGCCATATACTTAAAATCAACTTTTTTGCTTGATACGACTTTTAAGATAAAATTTAGAAATTCAGCTAGCTCCTAGCTTAACCATTAAGGTCGTAGAATTTTTAATTCTGGTGCATACTTATGGTGAAGTCTTCCAGCTTGTTACTGCTCTTACCTGCTTCCAATTTTCATGTTCGTTCTTGTTTTGTTTTCTTTTTTTTAAACCCTTCTCTCTCTCTCAAAGCAAGACTTACAGAGGACTCAGGGTTAAAGCACCCATTCACTCGAAGAGGGGACAGGGACATTTAAAATGTCTTTATAGGTTAACAATCTCTGAAGTTTCACACAGTATGTCCAGAAGCAGAGACTCAACAACAACAACAAAAAAAAACCACAAAACCAATCACCCAAAACCATACCCCTTTGATTGTAAAAGGTCTGTTGTATTTCTTTCAGTATCCACATCAAGAACAGTGTAAGGACTGGAACCCATTCCTTCCTTCACCTCATTTAAAAATCCTTTTTTTACTTGAATGAATTCTCAGAAGTATGCACAGAGTCAAGTTTTGTGAAGTGATCTCTCTACAGGTCCCTGACCCAAGAAACATATACATTCATTCTAGATGAAGAGAAATGGCAAGATCAAAAATTTTTTTGGACAGCTTTGGTTAATGAAGATGACATAACCAGTGAGTAATGGGTATTTTTGTGGTGTACTGTATAAAAAGCATCACAACTGTTTCTGAAAGTTTCTTTGACTGATTTGACATAAAGTGACGCCTATGATGAGCAGTCTTAAAGATCATATTCAGCAAACTCAGACAGAATCATCTTCCTTTCCATGTCTCACCAGAAAAGCATGTTCATACCGATAAAGAAACAAGTCCTGAGGGTCAGAAGGAATTTCAATTTCAGTATCTGTTGTGTATGTCTGAGCATAGATTGCAACTTGAGCTGAGGAGCACTCTGTGATGTGCGCATCTCCACATGACAAAAAATACACTTAAGAGCAGCTTCCACAGCGGACAGCTCATAGCTGCTGTGTTCTCTTCCAGTTGCTACGGACAGCTACCACGCACGCTGCTGCTGGCCTTTGGGCAAGGCGATCCGTATTTTAAACTGCCAAGCCCCAAGCTATTCCAATGCCTGCAATGACTTGTTTACACCGCAAAATGTTTTGAATGCACCTGTTTTCTTTGAGAAGTCCACATTAGGCGTTTCTGACCACCTAAACTGTCCCCTAGCTTTAAGGAACCTCCCTGACTTCAGTGTAGTAACATGACATAGACATACAAGGTCATTAACCCTATCCAGCTGAATAATGTCAGAATTCTAGGGGTTTGATTGATCATAACACTTTGGTAGATGAATAATTATTGAATACATTTTTAAACACAGCATATAACCAATAGAAAAACACACATTAATAATGGGTATTTTTTGCCATTACTTCTCCCTTTCATTTTACAGTAACTAGCTCTGGAACTAATCCAGAGAACTTGGTATGATTTTCTCTGAACCTAAATTTAGTCAGGGGAGCATGTATGCTATGTAACAACTTCACACAAGCAGCTTCAGACAATATTAGACCTAGAAATAAATCCTTACCATTTACCATGACCAAATATGCTAGTTGAGATTTTCTTTGAAGTATATGGCGTTCTGATGTACTTCAATTTGGTGACGATTCAGTTGTCAAATTTTAACCCCAATTAACAATGACAACATTTAACATACTTAGCCATTCTGGTATTACCAAGATAAAAGCTCTAAATTTAAATTGGTTAGTGGATCTACTGAGCTAAGAACTAAATCAAGAGGGCATAATTTAATTGCTTTGCTATGGGAAGAATTCTGCAACCAAATGAGTAGAATGGTGTTAAGGACATCTTTTATAATAGGATGAAGAAAGTTATCTTCCCAAGAATATAAATACAGAGCATGTTTCAATTACCCAAAATACCATTTAAAGTGTGAGGTTCAGAACAATCTCTTAACCCACATGTATTTTTAATCTGTGTACAACTGCAGTACAATATTGTAACACTTTTAGAAAATTAGGACAGAATTCAGAGCTAACTTTTGAATAAACAGCTAGCAGGGTTAAGAAAAAAAAGCTTACATTAAAGTTTACACAATTTAAAAAGTAATTTCTAAGTATCTCACCTCTATTTTACTTTCACACTAGATAACGAACATTCACGGATCTACAAAAATAACAGTTTCCAGGATTTGTGTGATTACGTGGTAGCAGTCATTTTAAAGGTTACTCTGAATGATTTCTTCTTTCAAGACTGAGATTATGACAACAATAAACCAAGTATTTTGTTTGTTTCCTCTCTGAAAAGACCCTGAATGTCAATCTGACCTTTCCAGTTGTATGGAAGGATCACCCGTAGGCCAGAGAGATTATGGCCCATTTTCACATAATTTAGAAACCATTTCTTTCAAATTGTTATTATACAGTTCTTAAAATGGATAAGCAAATAAACGACTGGCTTTGAAGATGGTCTTTTCAGCTTACCTTCTGAACCAGGCTGCTCCTTTGCTTCTGTCTGAGTTTCGTCAGACTTTACTTCAGTGCCGTCTGCTTGTGTTGCCAAGTTCTGTTCTGGTGCTGGACTTGAATTACTGCTGTTTTCTTGTTTTATTGGAGAAGCATCAGCTATTGAACTCTGGTTGCTATTGTCATCTGTTAACAAAAGAGTTAAAAACAAGAAAGTCTAACTTGACAAGATAAAAAGCACACCTTAATTCTTCCATATTTTTCCTGTTATTATTCCCTGATAACACATGATATAGTCTAGCCTGTTTGGGATCAAGTCCAAGCATTTTCTATGATGACTATTTAGACTAACACTACCTCTAATTTTTTTCCACACCACCACAATTTTTGCTATTGCAGCCTAGCTGTAATACAGGAGTTTTCTAGCAGCTACTAGAAGTCAGAAAACTGTAAAAAAGGTGCTCTAATATTATACAATAAAGCCAAGAGTGTTTTACTCTGATCTCTTCCAAAAGAACTCAGACTTTTGTAATATGAGTAAAAGGGATCAACTGAAGTGACAGTCTCATTTTATAGTTCATACAGCACAGGGCTAATTAAGTGTTCATGCTGCAGATTTACAAACACCCATCACTACAACATTCAGATGAGCAGGTAGTTTTTGAAGTGTGTCCTGAAGGTTAAAAAACCCCCAAAACATCAAGGTAAAATGTAACATCCAGTCCCAATATCAATATTTTTCTAAGTGATAATTGTCTAGAATATTCTCTAGCCTCCAAAAACTTGGATCACAGTAACTTTCTGCAGCACAGATGGTGTCTCTGTAGTTAACAGGAAATATTCTGCCTGTACCCTCTTCCTGTGAAAACCAGTGACAGTGGTTTAAGTATCTCAGCTAATACTTTATGGATAGCAGTGGGGTGCAACTTCCTGTAATCTTTAAGCCAGCCAAGAGGGAAGCTCTCACTCCCTAAGGAAAACTAGACCAGCAAAACATTATTAGTTAAATTACTAGCGTGCAAGTCAATCCACCTCCTTCTGCACCTGTACAATCATTACATCCAAAGGACTTCAGAAACACATAGCTGGTGATGGGACCATCTCTTTTCAGAGCAGCTTGAAGTCAGATCAGATTAAGTTTATCATGAAATTGTACAGTACGGCTTAAAAACACAAGTGATATATGATAAAAAGTAAGTAGTGTATTCACCTCATGGATGGGAGAAAAAAGACTTAAGAAAATTAAATGATCTGACCAAGGCAAAAGCTGTTTGAAACAGAAGAAAAATTAATCCAGATCTGTGAAAATCCTGCTCCATTCTTTAATTGCAAGACCATACACACTGTGAACACTGCAAAAAACAACCAGGAGGCAATACAAATGCAAATAAAACTGAAATGAAAAATTTGCAACCCACTAAAAAGCGATGCCCTCTTCTAAAATAGTGCTGCATTCTCAGCCATAATTGTTACCCAAACACAGAAGAAGGTAAAAAATTGAAACACAGCTGAGCTGTGCAAGTTCCTCTGTAATAAATACCAGGTTAACACTCAACAGTTCACACTTTAAAAACAAAATTAAAATTAAAAAAATTTACCTAATACTGCCTGACTGGCAATGAAAAAAATTTTTTCCTAACCAGTTAATTTCATCAGGCTGAAGCAGAAGGAAGACACCACAGAACCAGAGCTTGCTTTCTTGGCTCTTACCAAATTCTTTTGACCTGGCTCACCTATAGAGTTAAAAAGTACAAAACCTGCACAAATTACAGTAGGTGCCACTGAGGCTTTGGGGGTCTCTTGGTTCTTCAAGCAGCAAACTCGACAGAGTTACTACTTCACCTGAGTGTAGTATTTTGAATGCTAGGTATTTCTATTGTTATTTTCATATTTAGCTCCACTAACAATTTCTTTTTCTCCACACACAGCCCAAATAAAGATGGCATTTAAACAACTGTTAGTACATCCACAGAAGTCCAAGGTACCAAATGAGTATCTGATGCTGTTTTCACTTTGACTCAATCGTGTTGTCCCTACATCTGAGCAACAGAGAATTTGACACTGTTAGGTTATACTTTCATAGCAGTGTAATAGGGTAATTGGGGCTGACCTTCTCCCACTCACCATGCATGTCCATCATCCCAGGAGAGGAGCTGTTCTCTGGAGTGGTCACTTCAGAGCCACATTTTTCATCTTTGCCTTTTTTCTTATTCTTATTTTTCTGAAAAACAAAAGGTACCACAAACAAATGAGACTATCACCATGAAGAGAAATCCGTGTTGCAATATAAACCCCTTCCCACTCATTACTTCTCTAAGCATCTGTCTTAATTTCAAGTGAGAAATAAAGCAAATGTAATAATAACTGACATTATCAATAATGCATTAGTCCCAGTAACTGCAGGGCTGTTTTTCTAGTTGTATTCTTCATGACACAAAACACTAGGATATAAAGGTTTTTATCCAGAAATTCTAGTAAAGGTCAGCACTTAAACATGTTTTCCATCTTCAAGCAACTGCACAATTTCTGTAAAAAGTCCAAAAATTCTCAATAATACCCCTCACTCTACGAACAGGGAATCTGAGGCACAATGATTGAATGGCTTGCTGAAACTGAGTCAGAGAACTTGGGAGGTGCTGGCTGCCAACTTTGTACTCAATCCAAAAAGCGACAAAAGCAAGGTCAAAAGAATCTCTGCTATACCAGGAAAAGGGAAGAACCATCACTGATCAGAGGCAGGGCTAAGATTCATGAAACCACCCGATTTCTGAGCTCATAACTCTGCTCGCTGTATGGTTTATGCATATCAACACACTGCTACAAAACTCAATACATTCTCCCTTTCGTATCAGAAAGCTTGTAGAATACACCTAGACAACATGCATGCCTGCACAACAGGAATAACAGATCTAGAATTTTCACGCTAGAGAGACAGCTTTTTACCTCTTTCTCAATGACCAACACTGCAGACACCTCCTCCTCCTCTACAACTAATGCTGTTTCTTCATTAAAACTAAAGATGGATTAAGAAAAATCAGGTTGGTCTAAAACGAAGAGCAATAAGGAAGACAGTCCTACATGAAGAATAGGTCACAACAGGCTCATGACCGAACAACGCTATGGACTGCAAGCATTAAAACAAAGAGACAGTGGCATCCATCACGTGGAAAATCTGCGCCTGCTAAGGGATGCAGCATTTTCAATTAAGAGGTGACGTAATCAGTCTCATAGGAGAAAGAGCCAGCTGCACTGCTTTTGGAGGATCCTGCGTGCCTACTGAGAAGACAATTAAAAGCCTGACTCTAGGAAGAATGCTCGGCAACCCATCCATTTGGATAAGACAGTGTCCTCCAACGAGGGAAGGAACTAAAACCACAATCAAATATCGTCTAAGACTGCAGAAGAAATTCAACAAGTGATATCCAGAAGGACTTTCCCCTCTATTTTAAATAGATTATTAGGCTTATTTTTAAATCGTACTTTTACTTCAGAGAAGCCAGATTTTATTCCCTAATATATGAAACAGAGGTGAAAGCACATGGACTCCTTTACCTTTGCCAAATGAAAGTTCAGAGGGGACATAATCTCTCTCAGGTTTGGGTTTTTTTGTTTGTTTTTTTTGTTTTTTTTAAAAGGTAAAAAGGACACTTTTGCCACAAGAGAAATATTGAAAAATGACTGTGAGCGATTTAAGCTTAAAAGTTGGGTTTTTTTTCAAAAAGGTTTAACCAAAGTGGTGAGGTTCTACAGCCTTCCAAAACCAGTAGGAGGAAAGAGCCTAGCTAATTCTAGTTCAAAGAAATGTCAAAGCATCTTAGGAACAACATGGGGGG